GTGGTGTGAATCTTGCTAGGGTAAGTAATACTCCAGTTCCTGAAAAATTTGAGTTGAGATGGTGGATTGAGCTATTGGTGGCCTTGAGTCAACGAATGATGACATTGTGAGAGAATTTTACGCACACATTGGGGACACCACTGCTAGTAATGAGCATGTCACAGCCTATGTTCAGGGTGTATTATTTGAATCCTCATCAGATTTGATAGCCACCACCATACACCTACCCCGAGTAGCACAAGATGCTTATTATTTTAGACCTATGAGTGCATTACCTAGGCTTAGTCATGTTGCATCTGAGTTGTACGGAGATCCCTATCCTAATTGGTGGAACAAACAAAAATGGTACCACAAAGATTTGACAAGGGAGTATCGATTGATTAATCTAATTATCAACTATAACATTGACCCTTCGGAGAGCCTTTGACTTGGTTGGGATTAGCCATGGTCTACCTTTCAGATCTCTTATCACCCAAATTTGTTTGGGTAATGATTTAATTACTTTACAGATTGATCAAACTCCAAGACCAAAAAGACCTCTAGGGAAAGAGTCATTGAAATAGAGTGAGAGTAATGCAAGTTATGTAATAGACCCCATGACGTAGAAGCAAAGGAAGAAGTGACAGAGCTTGAAACTCCTGCTTCCACTTCTAATCTAGGACATTCGAGTCATACACCACCACAGAGGCACACACGTGCTAGCATCTCATAAGCACCACCACCTAGGACCCCTCCTACTTCGTCACTTGCTTAGTGGATTGTGGTTATGGATGCACTGGGACACATATAGAGTAGTGTTGATAAACAACATAGTCGCACAACTCTTAAATTAGATTCTAGTTACAGGAGAATGTTCAGGATTGAGAGAGAGAGAGAGAGAGAGAATCTATTCGTAGTGAGATTAGGTGTGTCAACAGTTGCTTCAGAATACTGGATTTATTGATAAAGATGACAAACCAGTGACACAGCCACCGGATGGTCAAGATGATGAGGATGGTGGTGGAGATAATGCGGCTATAGGAGCTGCTTAGGAGACTTTTTAGTGTAAGACCGTATGAAATTTTTATGAGAACTATTCTTTCATGGCATGTACTTTAAGTACTCTATTTTTCTTGTTCATTTTTCATGTTTATTGACTTTTGCACTTGTTTTTATTCTCTTTTGTTGTGATATACATTTAGTCATATGCTATTTGATGCTTTATATATTTAAGACTTCGAGTTAAGTCTCATGCTTGTCCTTTGCTTACATGTCTATTCCTGCTAGTTAGTTTGTATTAATACCCTTTTTTTATGTCATTATATGTTGGTGCTTGCTGTGATATGCCATTGGATTGACACTTTGTGACAAAATAGGGAAGAATATTTTGGGATGACTTTGATTCTGTACCATGTTTGTTATGATATATTATTGGTTTTGACATCTTGTGACAAAAAATGGGAGAATATTTTGAGTGCATATGAGAGAATTCAAGGAAAACTTGACTAGTTTTGAGTGAATTGCATGTAATTAGAGAAAGGGAGTTTGTTCTCATACTCAACACTTTTCAGTGTTCAAAAGAATTGGTTTTTTTACTTAGTTTTAGGCTTAAGAACTAGTAGGGACCGCTATATGTTAGCTAGCCTTCGCTAGAGCGGTCTTTAAAGACAAAGAAATTTTTTTTTAAAAAGTTAAGTGTGTGGCAAATAGGATCACTCTTTGGCTGCTCGAGTGGTCCCTGTTCTATAGTTCTAGTTTGATTCCAAATTTCATTCTAGTGACCACTGCCATCTGACTCCCACTGCTCAAGCAATCATTCAAGAATTTGTGTTTTCTTGGATCCCAGACAAACCCTATTCCGAGCCCATAAATAGAGGGAGCCTTCCCAAGCTAAGGTAATTTCTTACCTCTAAAACTTAAGAGATCCCACTATAACCTTAGATCCCTAAAATTCAAATGCTATCTTCTTGTGATTCCTATTCATTCGGTTGGTTAAACTAAAACCATTGGAAGTATGCATATTGAGGATCTTAGTGGAGAATATTGCTCGATGCCTAAATGAACCATACAATGAGGAGTTCAAGTGAAGCTATTCGTAACGTTGAAAAGGAACAATCTTGAGTACTTGTAAATTAACTTTGGGATAGTAAATTAGGCTTTGGTGAACCTTAGAGAGGTTTTTTGCGATTTTTCCCGAGAAGAGTTTCCGCGTCAACAAGTTGCTATATTCTTTATTGTTTTTACATATGCACTTGCAGTTTCAGCACACATGAGTACTATGTGTTTGATAAATTGATTGATGGAATATTCATATCATACAAGAGATTGAATATTGAGCATTGAAATTGACAAAATCAATACACCAATTTTCTTAGGTTTAACAGGTTGTGGTGGTTAAAAAGGGGTTCTCATGCTTAATTGCAATATTATAGTGAGAAGAGATAATCGTGGTATAATTATGTTAAAATTGATGTTTGTTTAAACATATTTTTTATTAACCTATTCATTCCGTTCAGGTAGTGTTTAACAATCCCCGTGTTTAATTGTGAGGGAATATCCACATAATCTCTCATTCAATAGGGTGAACCCACTAGACTCGTTTAATAAACATATAATTTTCGGGTGAGTTATGTCAACTCATTTATCACTCGTTTATTATTTTAAACAAAATTAATATAGTAATAGATTAATAATTATTCAATTTTTTTAGTTAGAATAATATATGTAATTTAATAATTATATCAGTTAAAAAATTATTATTTTTATAATAATAAAAGATTTTATTAAACAGATTAAATGAGTCATGTCTGATAATTCGTTTAATAAACGAATTGTGTTCATTTTATAGATTGCCGCTTGTTTAATCAAACAAATTATGTATGGGTTGAACAAATTTTCACACAAATTTAATTAGATCTAACATCAACTTGCTTAACTCGACACGGTTGACACACTTACATGTAACTCCCTACTTCTCCATGTAGTCTTACTTATCCCTATCTTTTTCGAACATCACTTTATAATGTTTCAAGACTCAATTTCTCTCATCTTCCTTTCTCAAACTTGGTAAGTTTTAGATAAACCCCTATTTCTCTCTCTCCCTCTCTCTCTCTCTCTCAAACCTAAATGGACAAATCATCTAATACACTTTGTAAATCTTGTTTTTGCAATCACCGGGATCACATAATTTTTCAAACCAAAATTTCCAACCATTATTAGTTTTTTTTTTGTAGACCAAGTTATCTCAATGTGAGTATATCTATTTTTAGCAACACTTTCTATCATTTTTATTTTTTTATTCAATTTTATTTTCATAATTTTGTTCTTCATTGATATAAGAACATATTTTATACAAAATACAATTTGAAATGATCTATTTCTTTTTTTCTTAAATCATGCATTGCATGGATGAACGCTAGTACATAATATATAGTAATGTAGCTGGCTTGGATGAGCTCCAAAAACTCATCCCAATTTGTCTTGAATTTTTTATTTTTTAAATTGTCAAATTGAATGTGACTTTATGTCATTTTGCCCTTTTTGAATAAATTAATTCTTCATTAATAGGATAACTTCTAAAATTTCTCAATTGTCTCAAGTTTCTCTTGCATCATTTTTCCCTTTCCGGTCTCTTTCACACGCACATATTCTCTCTCTTTTAAATCTATATACGCGTTATATTTTTTTCCTCTCGTCAAGTATTAAATTTTTTAAAATTTAAATTATTTAATAATAATATATTGATCTTATCAAGTTAAATCATCTCATGTAACTACTTCCATGAAATTATTTTAAATTTAAATTTTTTATCTTCCTTAATTTAGTACAATAATAAATAATTTTTTTAAAATACTAAAATGAGGTTGGGATGCGAGTAACAATAAGTGGGTGGCGATAGTGGTAATAGAGGTGATAAAATTGTGATAAGAGATTGAAAATACAGTACATTCTACATGTCGCCACTGATATTATTTTAAATAAAAGGTGAAATTATAGTTTCATAAAAATATACTTCTTGCTTTCATAGCATTCAAATACATTTTTTTATCATGGTTAAAATATAAGTAGGTAATTAAAATATTTAGTTTGGTTAAAATATATATTATAATTAAAAAATGAATATGATTAAACAAATAAATTATAAGATGAATGATCGAATCTCATCCTGTACTTAGACAGCGCCCCTCATGAAGTCCATGTAAAGAGCGTCAATTACAACAGGTGACGAAGAAGATAGAGAGTTAGCTACGGACTAGGCGTGCTTTTAGCAACATGGCTGGTTTTGGAAGGCAAAGCACAGACCACTCAGCCACCCCGTCACCCCCCTGCTAGACCCTTCGTCCATTTTCGTCCCATGGTCTCGAGCTCAGATGCTCCCCTTCTCCTCCCTCTTCTTCTTCTTGTTCCTCCTCCTCCTCCTCCTCCTCCATCTATTCCACTTTTGGCCCTACCACTATCCCAGAAGGGCCCCACAAACCACCACCAACACTACCACCGACAAAAACATCGGTGTTTTCCTTGTTAAATGTCATAAAAGGTACATTTGTTATATGTGTTCCTTTTCTGGGTATCAGTAATTTGTGGTCGTCGGTGTGTGTTCTTTTTGTCTTGTGTGTTATGGAGTCTGGAAAGAGGGCACATATGCTTTTCCTAAGTGTTCATCCTTTTACAACTCAGACCCAATTGTTTTTCTCTCTGCTATTAAGATAATGCTCCCAAAAAGGGCCTTTGATTGCGCTGTGAATCTTTCCATTGCATGCTGCATTCAAAATTTTGTCGTTTCTCAATTGGGTTCCACAAATCAAGTTCCGGACACTTCTCTCTTTCTCTCTATTCTTATGGGACAGAGATACTGAGAGGAAATTGGGGAGAGAGTTGGAATGATGAGAGGTTGAATTATCGGGGAAAAGCATGGGTTGGTGCAATGATTTGTTTAACTTTTCCATCATGCTACTGCTTTTTTGCTTTTTCCTTTCGGTTAGAAAGGGTGGGAGAATCTAATTTCTTTCATTTTGTCTCTGATGAGATTAAGGCGTAGGCAATGCATTCCTTCTTGCTCTTCTCACCACAGAGTAAGCTTATTCCTCACTCCATCACAGTCTTTCATTTCTTAAAGACACTGCTTATTTTTTTCAGTGTCTGACTAAATCTTGGTTAAATTGCAGAAATTTTGATGATTTTAAGCTTATTCATTAGCTCACAATGTGTCTTTCTGCCAACATTTTGAAATGTTTCTGCTTATCCATTGGCATTTGTTAATGCTGCTAAATAATGTAATGGATTTTCTCTCAAAATTTGATTTAGTTTTGGAATTAGCTCATCTTCACTATATGTGATGAATTGTGCAAGATAGATGATCATCAATCTCATCTAAGATGCCCAAGAGATCATAATCTATATTGCATGAATTTTTCCCCACATCATAAATGCAATGAGTGTCTGAAATTTGATGCAACCATTTGTTGTTGATAGTCTTTTCCACTTAAAATAAGTGACTGGCGTTTTAGTCCGAACTATATGTAGCTCAAGAATTACAATACCTTGAGTGATCATTTATGTCATAAATGAGATACCTGAAGGGTAAAATCTGTTTCATCATCTCCCGAGTTCATTTGCAACCAAAGTCCTAGATAGCCCAAACTTTTGGTAATAAGTTTGCATACTTTCAACTGTGTCCTAAATATAAATTTTTTTTTTTTGGGGAGGTTGAGGAGGAGGGAGAGGGGAACTTAAATCCTTAATCTTAAGGAGGCAAAGCCTTTACAAGACAAGGAGTACTATTGGACCAAAAGCCCATTGGTGTGCTTTGTCAAATAAGGGTGCCTATCTTGTGGTATATCTATATCTGGTGTATATTGTGCTTCATAAATGCCACTGTGCTACGGAATTATACTTACCCTCGGTCTGAAAATTATGCTCTTAGCCCTTTTTTTGCTCACTCTGTTTTCCTATTCTTCTTGCCGAATTTGGTTTTCCATTTTTACTTGCTAAAATTTTTATTTTGTCTAATAATGTTGTGAATCCTGGAAAAACAACTATCTTTTGTCTCAATCCTCTTAATTGAATTGGATATCATCTCTTCATTTTTAAACAATAGATACTATAATGTTTGGCCAGGTTATCGTGCCAGCTAACTTGAAGATGCCTATCACGCCTGTTATGAATTTAGTTTTTTACTTATGGTGGCTTTTGGATTCAGGTTGATGAAGATGAAGTTTATTGGAGACAAAAGAAGGGTGATGAAGAGTCGGCATGGTCACATAGTTCTCCTCACTTAAAATCACAGTTATCTCAGTGTTTTAGTGAGTGAAAATTACTAATACTCTGTTACAGCACTTCCTGCTATATTCAATTTTATTTCTCTCTCGGTCTCTCTGTTTGTTGATACATGTTTGTGTGCTAAGTTTCCTAAATTTGAATTCATTTTGCAATCTGACCAAAAAAAAATTAATCATTTTCAATGTCTTTTTTTCCTTTCTTATGTAAGGGGGTTTGGTGTTTCTTGCACCTTAATTTCTAGATGTTGAAATAGGAGTGGGTAGGCATAGAAATATATATTTTTAGAGAATGAGGCAAAGATATTTAATAGTTGAGGCAACTGCAGGAAGAAAAAGCCTTATATCTGAAAGTGTTTATTCAATAAGAGGTGCTTCAACCACTCATGTTTTAGTGAATGTGCAGTCTGTTTATGTTGTGTGGTACTTTCAATTCTCAAGAGGGGCAGACTTGTTATTTTGTGTCAAAATATAAACTTGAAGGGATATAATCTATATAAGCGAAATGTTGCATGTTTCCTAACTCCTTTAAGATCCAAATTGGTGAAACCTATGATACCTTGCTTGTGTGAAAAGCAATTCAAACAATGCCAGTACATATGGTAATCAAAGGGACACTCTAGAGTTTTGATGTTTGAATGATATTCAGCAAACTGTTTGTTAACAATGGTACGAAATGAATTTCAAAACTACTAAGATTATTTTCTTTATTACATCTTTGTATTGTTAGCTTTATTGAGAACCTGATCTATTGGTCTTTTGTTTTTTTCTCTTAAATATTTTATATAATGTATCTGCGCGGTGTTTACCTTTCTTCGAGGGTGGGAAGATATTTTGAGTTAATAGCTCATTCTAAAATGTTTAGAAGATAATTTTGATAATTAAATAAATGACATTCTGCATCCTTTTAAGTTGCTGACTGCAATCCTTGATAAATAATTAGGTGCAATCATTTGACAATGAGATTATTCTGTTTCCGTATGCAACTTTGGCCATATCAAGGGTATCCTTGGCAGAACAGATTTACTTTATCATACCCAAAAGTCATTGCCAAATTATCCAAAGTTCTGCTTTGTCTCTTCATTTGCCTGTCTGTGCTGATGACTATTGCATAGTTTTCATCAATTTTGTAAAGAAACAAATGAAACGGACATTCTGTGGTCTCATGGTCTGTCTTCTTCTGTATCTAGAGCCTGAATCCGAATAGTGACTTGTATTTAATTGCGGCAAGGGTGCTTTAGTCTTACTGACAAAAGAAAAAAAGAAGCAACTCATATGAAGTTCAAAGTGCACGCATCTAATCCTTCTAAGACCACATAACTAAATGTCCTAACCAATATCAATGTCATTCCATTTCACCCAAAATCATTTTACTCATAACTGTTTGGTGGCTGTAGCTAGTGCTATGGTTGGACCACGAGCATGGATAGGAGGAATCTTTAGCCGTTCAAGCAATAAACGGTTCGGAAGTGGAAAATTTTTTGACTTCCCTTTGAGTCCTCTTCAGGTAAGTGATCTATCATAGATGTTGATCTGTTGAGCGGTAGATGTTAATCAAGTGATAGGGCTTCTTGGATCCAATTGTGTATTGAGTTGTGGCCTCTCCTCTCGCTCATGTGAACTGAAAGGTAATATGCATGTTAGTCTGATTCGTTACGTCTTCTGCTGCCTTCTTTTTGAAGGCTTTCAATTCGAACTAATCAAGTTCAAACAGTTCCGGGAATCATTTAATCCTCTTGTGGCTAGGATTGTCATATCAGTGATACAGCCAAGTTTGTCAGCCTAAAAGAACTCATACTTTCCAATTTCCTTACAGGAACAAGGACTTCGAAGGCTTCAAGCTCGATTACAAGTACCTTTTGATGAGACACGTCTTGATCATCAAGTATTCCTCCTGGCTTGTTTGAATCCTTTTCTTGTTTGTTGTGCTAAAGAGTTGATATTGATAAATCTTCACTAATTGCCAAGTATATGACCTTCTAATTTGTGGGCAAGGAGCCTGAACTTTTTGAGAATTTTCTAACTCTTCTTTCTACCATATAACTTATGGAGCAGCTATGTTTTGCCTCCAGTGCAAAACTGTAACAGCAGTTTTAGGAGTGACTGACTGGTTTATTGTGCATAACATTGCATATATTTTCTATTGGCTTGTGGTTTTGCAAATGGAGGTGCATGGTTCCAACTGTCGGCGTTGTGTCCACTCTTTGATCTCATTATTCATTCCCACTGACAGGAAGCTCTTAGAACATTGTGGAAAGCTGCCTTTCCAACTGTTAAACTTAAAGGATTGATCTCTGAGCAGTGGAAGGATATGGGGTGGCAAGGTCCAAATCCATCAACAGACTTTAGGTACTGTTCTGCATTAGTTTTTACGTGCCTGTTTGAGTTAGACATGCTGGTCCCCAGTCAAAGAAGCAACTGGCTGTCAGGAGTACATAAGGAGGCTTAAGAATCCAGTAATGCTGGACTAACTAAGATTTGAGTTTTGACTACTTTTTATAATCATCTATTGTAGTCCTTAGTTGGTCATGATGTGAAAGGAATTTACTCCACTGTGTCTACAAACAAGTATTTCATATCAGTCCATTTTTCCTTTTTCCAGACAATGAATCTGTTCTGCTGTGCTTGGTGGATTGTTTTTAAACTTGCATGGAAAGGTCGGCCATTATTTTTGCCACCATCTACTGTGTTCTGCTGTACTTGGTGGATTGTTTTTAAACGTGCATGGAAAGGTCGGCCATTATTTTTGCCATCATCTAGCGTAGTGTTTTATCTACATTGGTGGCTCTTCTCTAAGAATTAAATTATTTTGCAAATGACCTGCAGGATTAATGAAATTTAAAAAAGTTTCAGTTCTGCTTAGTTTTGTAGTGGAAAAAAATAGGTATGGAGGTGCTGTATCATTCAGAAACCAACTTTCCACACCAACAACTAGTTGCGTTAAGCTCAAACCAATGATTGAATAGCGTCTCTTTGTCTGAGCCTTTTTGTGATAATTAGAAGTAGCTCCTACGAAAATAAGGATGGAATGATTGCATCTTCAAAGATATTGAAAACACTCGGATGAAATTTGGTTGTGCATACTATGCAAGAACCTGTCTTGTGTCTGAACAAGAAAAGTGCAAAATACGAATTTCTGAAGAGATATAACCATTGTATCTTTTTCGTTTTTACTTAAACATATTTCAATTTCACAAGTATCCTGTCTCATTGTTTATTACTGTCAATAGGGGTTGTGGTTTCGTTTCGCTCGAGAATTTGCTGTTTTTTGCAAGGATTTACCCGGTATGCCTGTTTGGCTCCCACAGGGAGTCCTGACCTGGATTCATTTGGTTTTACTGTTTTCTTGTATTCTATTTATTATTTTTATTCCCTCCTTTTATGTTGGGACAAAGGCGAGTAATTACTAATTGTTATACAATCCAAATGAAGGCTTCTTTTCATAGGTTATTGTTCAAGCAAGGTGGGAAGCGAGCAACATGGGAATACCCATTTGCTGTTGCAGGCATTAATGTATCATTTATGTTGATTCAGATGTTAGATTTATACTCAGGTACCATGTTTTAAAGTACTTGTTATCTGCTTTCCATCTCTGACCAAAATGGTTTTTTTTTTTTTTTTGGGGGGGGGGGGGGGGGGGGGGGGGCCATCAGGACAATACCTGAAATGAAATCATCCTATTTTTGTTCCTCATGTTATTTAGCTGAGCATTTGTTTTGTGTATCTTTTAGTTTTGACTGAATCTTTAAGACTTAGAATTCTAGTAGTCAAGTTTTCAGGAAAATTATTTTGTTATTCTAGCTGATGGTTTTTGAAGTAGAATCTATATATTCAAATGCTACCAAAAGTGAAGTCAGATGAACCCGCATAGGTAGTCTAGCAATGTGGAGTTGAATCTGGGAGTGCTTTCTGCTGATACATCTTATGTTCAGTCGCGCTGGTGACTCTTGGGTGTAGCCAATACCTATGTGGCAGCCTTTCTTATTACTAGGAAAAAAGGATTAAAGAGATTGAAGTGATGATTTGAGTTTCAAGGGTAGTCCAAAATGTCCATTGATCTTTTTATTTGGACTGCATTTTCTATTTATGGTCAATTATAACTGCAACCTAAACTGCACAAGAGTCTTGAGTTTCTTGCTCTTTTGTATGCTTACCAGTTTATCTTATTTATCTAGTTTAGGCATATTGATATTTTCCCATAACATTTGAAGAAACAACAAAGTAATGAATAAAAGGAGATCTCTATTTATTTTTATTCTCTTTTCTTTGACAGCAAAACCTAGATGTCTTCCAGGAATCAATTTTGTTAAATTATTAGGAGGTAAGAACTTGTGCTATTAATTGGGTGATCTTAAACATTTTGATTTTTGGATACTCCTTTTCGGTGCCATCTTTGCTATTACATGGTAATTTATGACAATTGCAGAAGATGAAGAAGCCTTTGACGTTCTATATTGTATAGCTTTTGAGATGATGGATGCTCAGTGGCTTGCCATGCATGCTTCATACATGGAATTTAATGTACTCTCTCTCTCTCTAAGCAATTTTGATAAATTTTTTTAGAAACTCATTATGATGCCTCTCCTGAATCAGTAATGCTTCATGTGTCTGTGGATATTACAAGCCGCCATACATTATTTCTTTTACCTCTTCTTCTTAGCATTTGAAGAATGCACGGATCCATTCACTTGCATGGAATCATGTCTTGTTGCAAGCACCCAGCCAAAGAGAAATGGAAAGGAAAAAGAAACTCCCTGGTGCAAAACAAAAAATAAATTACAACCAACATGTACTGCAGTACACATGCTGCATTCTTTGGTGAGCTTAGATGCATCTTCACACTAAATAAGGATAAAAAACATTTTCTTATAAATCTTGAAGAAATAAGTTTCCCCAAGGCTACATCAGGTGTTCATAAAATAAGAGCTTGGTTGACCTCTCAGGTGTCTCACCGATGCTGTGCTTGCTGCCTAAAAAAGGTGATTTGTCATTAACTTTTATATTTGTTTCTCTTGGAGGTTGACTCTGTTTTGCTGATGCCACCCTTTATGAGAATAAGATGGTGCCTTTATTGCAGTGACATGCAGAAACAATTGGCCGCACACATCATTTATCTTGATCTGTAATCCATTTAAATAAGTCCTGGAGAATTGTAAGTTATGATTATTGTTTAGTATTTCATATGTGGAAATCCCACATTGGATAGAAAAATAAGTTAAAAGTGTCCTAAGATACTTGATGGGCTCACCACCTATAGACTTAAGCTTTTAGGTGGGTATGAGCTCCAAACATGTATATTGGGTCTTAAATCATTGGTCTCCTAATCTTCTAACAAATGGTATAAGAACCAATGAATGAGGATCTTGAGTGAATTCTCAAATGTAGCACACTGGTATTAATGATGACTCGTAAGAAAAGTGATGGGCTCTTGATATTAAAGTCACAAAAATGCAACTCAGGAAAAGAGTAGGACACGGACTGGGCGCAAGTGATCTTGGCAGAGTGAACTCTTGAAGAAGCGATGTAGGATAGTAGTATTAATGATGACTCTTAAGAAAAGTGATGGACTCTTTGTATTGAAGTCATGAAAACACAATTCAAGAAAAGAGCAGGGTGCAAGCTTCGATGCAAGAGCTCTTGGTAGAGTGGTGATACGGTAACTCATAAAGAACGATAAAAATTTGGTTCTTAGAAGAGCAGGCTCTTGTAAAGAGTGGTTGGATGCGATACTTGTGAAAAATTTTGGATTAGACTCAAAGAGGAGTTAGGCCTAATGTGTTTCACATGAGGGGGAGATTATTAGGTATTACATATGTAGAATCCCACATCAAATAGAAAAAATAAATAAAAATATTCTAATGTTCAATGAATGAGCTCACCACATATGGGCTTAAGCTTTTAGGCGAGTATATGAGTTCCACAAATTGTATATTGGGTTTTGGATTATTGAACTTTTAGTCTCCGAACAAATGAGATCAGAGCTGATGGTTGACGATTCTGAGTGAACTCTCGAAGAAGCGGTGTAGCGTGCCAATACCAATAATGGCTCTTAAGAAAAATGATGGGCTCTTGGTATTGAAGTCATGAAAAACGCAATTATGGAAAAAGGAGCAGGGCACCATGCCAGGGTTCTTGGTAGAGTGGTAATGCGGTGACTCATGAAGTGCAGTAAAAAAAAAACTTGGTTCTTGGAAGTGCCGACTCTTGAGTGGTTGGACGTAGAAAGTGATGAATTAGACTCAAAAAAGAGTTAAGCCTGATGTGATTGATTCATGAGGGGGAAATTATTGGATAGAAAAATGAGGTAAAATAATCTAAAAATATTGTTGAGGGGCTCGCTACCAATAGATTTAAGCTTTTAGGTGGGTATTAGTTTCAGGCATGTATATTAGGTCTTGGATTATTAGGCTCCCAGTCTCCCAACAAATGGTATCAAAACCGATGCTTAATGGTCCTAGATGAACTCTCGAAAAAGTAGTTTAGCGTGCTGGTATTTATGATAGCTCTTAAGAAAAGTAATGAACACTTGGTATTAAAGTCATGAAAACGCAACTTGTGAAAAGAGCAGGGCGCAAACTTGGGTGATAATGCAGTGACTCATAAAGAGTAATAAAAATTTTGGTTCATGGAAGAGTGGGTTCTTACAAAAAAATGGCTGGACGCAGTGCTTGTGAAGAATTGTGGATCATACTCAAGTAGAAACTAAACCTAATGTGATTCACACATGAGTGGGAGATTGTTGGGTATTACATATATGAGAATCTCACATCAGATAAAAAAATAAATTGAATCATTGGGCTTTCAATCTCCCAACAATTACGCTATGTAAAATGTAGCCTATTTGGAAGTTGGTTAGTAACAGATAAAAATGCACCAAAACCCAAGTTTTTTATGAAATACTTTTCTTGCAAAGCAAATTGGCCCTTTTTTGCACACATGTTCTGCATGCTTGTACTGCACCCTCATAACTTTTATGTACATCATCACTTCAAGTAGCTATATTATTGAACCAAACTGGCTTTAGCCTAATTGGCCACCTTGGATTGATTTCCTGTATCCCCCTCTTTGGTGGTTCTATCAGTTGTTTCCTCTTTTGGGCTTCTTTTCATCCCCTCTCTGTGTGTTTTCTTCAATGTGATAGATGCATTATTCGAAGGTTGCAATTGTCAATCATTGATAATAATAGTGATCTGTTGATGTATATGAAAGAAGTAATGTATTATTAGCCTGCCTGAATTTTCCTACATACTATGAATTCCTCCTCCCCTCTCGAAACCAAATTTTGTTAAGTTCCATGTTCATTGTATTTATTTTCTGAAATATTCTCGAAGTTTCTTTCAGGATTTTGATGCTTACCACTGGCTTTTAAAAGTACTTTCCCTCGTAGTTTCTTTCTCAGAAGCTCTAAGGTTACTTAATTTTTACCAATTTCATTCTCAGGAGGTTTTACAAGTAACAAGGACACAATTGGAGAGGGAACTGTCTTTAGAAGATATTCACCGAATACAAGATCTGCCAGCTTACAACCTGTTGTATCAGTAATTCTGCTCATAAGCCTCTCCCGACAACCCACAGAAATTTTGCCTGTGAAATTTGGTGAGAATTTAGAATGCAGAGGAGTATTTTCAGAAAAGACTACTGGGGATCTTAAATGTAAGTTCATTTATGCCTACTTTTGAGAGTTTGCAGGGGAAGGATGTGTACTATGTGGACTCTCATTGCCTAATGGCATTGAGGCTGGGCTTCATGAACTTCATTTTCCTCTTATAAAGCCAGCTGTTGACAAATCCAACAATTGATTAGATGATCTTATCTCAAAAAAGGGTGGTCTGGTGCAGAAGGCTCCTGCTATTGCGAGGTCTGGTCAGGGTTTATTTGGTTCTACAGTGAAAGATGGCTTCCGAATGATAGCCTGCATAAAGTAGGAAGTTTCAATTGTGGTACTGTTACTGATTCTAGGAGCCATCTCAGAATATGCAGGATTTCTCAGTATTTACCATACTCATCAACTGGGATAAAAAGTTGAAAATTTGAATGTGAAATGGTGCTCAAATCTTTGTTCCAGACAAGTTTTGGTAGGCATTAGTACCTTTTCTTTTAAATGAAGAACAAGTTTGGGTTATTTAGTGAATTTTTGTATTAGCATTTTAGAAGTTACATCTGCAGTGTTTGCCTTCACTGCATATGCTATCTATACCAAAAAATTTAACATAATTTATCGATCTAAAGATATGGTTTTATTGGAACTATTAGATCAATACCAAGTTTCAAAGATTAATAGATTTCCTAGTCAATCCACTTCCCCCTCCGCCCTCTCCCTTGCATCTGATTTGAGTTGATAACTCATTATGCTTTTGAACTCGAGTTTATGATATCAATCCTTTCAGAATTAATGAGGCTAAATGACCATATTACTTTTGCTAAATGTTTTCATCACTTCAAGGAAATAAATTACTCAAAGACAGACCTAATTATCCTAATATAAATATTATATAATAAAGAAAAATATAATTCAAATTTTAAAAAATAAATAAAATGATTTTTATTTTTTGTGGTTGAGATCTCTTTAAATTTTACTTTAAAATTAATTTGACAGTTAATATTAATATCTCAAATTTAATAGGGAAAATAGGTTTCTAAATGTGTGTTTGAAATGACTTTTTAAAAATATTTTTATAATTTATAACTACTTATGAATACTTTAAAATATATATATATATATATATATATATATATATATATATATATATATATATATATATATATGTCTCTATGTGTGTGTGTATATATATTTAGAACCGCTCCACCACTATCGCCCCTACAGCCCCACCACCATCACCGTCGTCACCCCCATCACCACCTGTGCCACAACAACCACCACCTCCACCACTGTCGTTGCCACTAACACCACCGTTGCCGCCACTCTATCACCACCATCACCAACACTACCACTGTCACTATCTCCGTTATCACCGTCGTCATTACCACCACCACCCTCCACCGTCGTCGCTGCCCCACCACCATCGCCACCTACCACCGATTGTTATTATTATCATCCACCGCCACCACCCATCACAATTTTCATCTCATTCTTATTTTTATTATCATTATCACTGTCGTCTATCATCAACACCCACCCACTACCATTGTTGCTCATCATCACCCATCGCTGCCCACTATCACCACTCATCATTGCCCATCATCGCCGCTCGTCATTGTCACTCACCCCCATCAAACTTACCATCACCAACCGCCACCATTAATCATCATCGCTCACCACTATCACCCACCCCCGTACAACATCTACCACCGTTATTTACCACAACTCATCACATTATCGTCTAAAAGCACCCGTCGTCGTCCACCACCTCCATCGTCACTGTCCCACCATCGTCGTGGCCCCCACCACCACTACTACCAACCATCATCACCATCGCCCGCAACTACTATCGTCGTCACTCATAATTGTCACTATCTCCATCATCACCAAAAATCCACCACCAGTATCACCATTGTCACCCATGATTGCCACCATCACCACAATCGTCGCCACGCACCACAATCATCATTGTCTCCCACCACCACTATTTTCATTCTCACAACAACCAGTATTTAAATTATATTTTTTTATTCTATTTTTGTAATTTGATTTTAGGTGTGAATATAAATATATTTATTTTTGACATTTTTTTTATTATTTTGTCCCTTCAGGCACAGACAATAACTAGTAAATATTATAAGTTAGCTTAAATAGTCTCTCAATCCCGATAAAAAAAGAAGTGTTGAATTAGTATGATAGTCATCGCAAACCTTTGTAAGACTGGATACAAATATAAATACTGAAAATATAGGTTGAAGTCTCAAGGTATATTTCTCTCAAGTGATGCATTGCATCCGCACCACAGTACTGTGTCCAAAAAATGAAAAAGAAACACTAAGTTTAAATCGCTCAAATACAACAAAAAATATACAATAGTTATTCTGTCACCCTGAATGAATTCCAATAAAAAAGTTCAAAAATACTAAATTTAACTTGGCAACTGGACATATATAAACACTATCGGTTAAAGATATACAACATAGTATAAAGCACACTAAATGAATACAAACAATTCTCTAGAGAGTAGCTCAAAAACATTTGGGGTACACAAAAGAAAAAGAAAAAAAAAGAAAAAGCACAGCCCAACGAATTAACAATTTCCAAACATGGATCTACACATTCGGTTCATGCCCAAAGCACATGGGTCAAAAACCTTTGGACAAACTTGTGAAGAATATGACAAACTACTGAATATTTAATTAAAAAAAAGAAAAGAAAAAGAGCAATGGCCACATGAGATCATTGAAGAAATTTAATTATTACTCACAAAAAGCAAAGCTGGGAAGACACATAGTACTTTGATGGTTTTTAATGGCTGAGAGACAAGGAATCAACAAAATATCTACATATGCACCGCACGCTTACGCTCTTTAAATTATTATATTAATAGGTCTCATTAAATTTATTAAATATTTAATAATTAGGATCGTATCACATCACGTGATGTAGGTGAGGTCAGGGCCGGCCCTATGGCTAGGCAATTGAAGTCGCCTAAGGCTCCATATTTTTTAGGGCCCAATTATCATAAAGTTATATTTATTTAAATTTAAATTAATTTTGTTAATTGCTTCTTTTGATTGCCATGACAGCATAAACATTAATAAAGTATCTAAAATTGAATTTCAAATCCACTCTCTTACTATTTTATTGACTATTAATTTTTAAATAAATTTTATAAATTTAAATGATATACTATAAAGAATTTGAATACATAAATTTAAATAATAAGTTGACATCTTAAATAACAAGAAATTTATTTTTAAATAAATATATTTTAATAAAAATTTTAAAAATTTATATATTATCATAATAATCATAATAAATGGGGCATCATCCAAAATTTTCCCCTAGGGCCTTCGTTTGGCTCGGGCTGCCCTAGGTGAGGTGGTGTCTATATATATCTTTATTGATAGATTAATTATTCGTTTGGTATGATAGAAAAATAAAAGGATAAAAAATTAGAGGAATAAATAAAACATCATGTTTAGTGAGGAAGGGAAATATGAATTGGAGTAAACTTATCATCTTTTGAAATGATATTTTTGTGCAATTATAATATTTTAAAGTAAATTTATCACTTTTTAAAAAGAACTTATCCCCAACTTTAGGGTGATAATATAATTTTTTTTGAATGAAATTATCACTTTTTAAGGTGATATTATCATTGTTTTTAAGCAACTGAAAAAAAAAAAAAAGATGTATAAATTGGTCCAGCTGACCAAATCAGAATATTTTAGTAATGAGTGATGTTTTTGATTGTGTAATCCCACGTGATTAAGGGAGTTAATAGAAGTTGAAACAGGGTTCAACAATTTATTTGATACCACGTCATCACTTACGATTTAATCTACCACAGTTTACGGTAGCTGATCCTCTACTGTTCAACAAGACGACAACGTTTTTGTGAGCTATGACACCACCAATTAGTTTTTTTAGTACAATATTTTAGTTTTTTTAATAAAAAAAGATGTGACGCGTTCAAATCTATATTGAGAAATTAGTTGTAATACATCTTCACCATCTTTCTACGCGCTTACGCTTCTCACACCATTAGATTAATAAGTCTCGATTAAATTTATTAAATATTTAATAATCGGGACAGTACCACATCATGTGGTGCAGGTGAGGTGGTGTGTATATATATCATTACTGATTGATTGATTAAATATATATAGTATGATTCCTTAAAACCTTCAAATTACCAATCTCTAACAAATTAATTTGTATCTTCTTCAAGGCATCAATCACCATCTTTGAATCTCCTTCAACATGACTCATAACATGTATTTGCTAGGTAAGTTTTGAATTCAAAGATTTCACACATGTACTTAGACGACCATTTCAATACATTGCTTAGTTATTGAAATTGCATTGCTTCTTGGTAGTTAGCCAAAAAATAAAGAAGTGGGATTCATTTTACAGGTACTCATTTTTTATTTTTCCATCTGTTGTCCCTGCTATTTTTCAGGTACATTGCTTAGATATTGAAGTTGGATTGTTGTCCAATATTTATGACTTATTATTTGACAATTAAGCAAAGTTGACCAAACTCTAAATATTTTAGGATAATTTATATTGACCAAAAAAATTAAATAAAAAATATAGAACAAATAATATGACACTATGATATAAGTTAATAACTATCATTTTGGGGCCCACTTTTATTTATATGAAAATCAAATTTTACTTATCATGTTGCTTCCACGTCATTTGATCCATATTTTTTTAATCAGTCTAATTATGTTGTGTTATGATTTTTCAAACAATAAAATGTTGATTGGGAGGTCCACTCGACAAAAATTTAAGTCTATACTACTTATAAATGTTAATATTTATGAAAAATTTGTTATTTTTTTATTTTATTCTTAATTATTATAATAACGTCAATTATATCCACATTTATACTTTCATCTAATTTTTATTTTTTAACTTTCAACTTGTTTTAGATTCTTGTATAAGGACTTCTAAATTATTTTGAACTCATCATTTATTAGCAGTATAAAACTACAAACAATTTTATATATTTATATCAAGAAAAAAGTTATATATATGTTTAATTATTATGCATATGTAGGTACCAGATTAAATTTTACGGTCAAATATATATTATATTTTATTTTTTGGTATGTAATAATATAATTAAACGTACAAATGCTTAAAGGGGTTAGAAAATTATCTAAATAAATGATAAATTAGTTAATCAAAGATTTATAAAATAAATTAATAATTAAATTTAATAATAATTAAAATACGAATTAATTATACATTGCCACCGTCATCACTTGCGGTTTAAACTATTATTCCTCACCATGATATCACGTCATCGCTTACAATTTTATCTAGCAGTGTACCATTAATTATTTTCCGCCGCAATCATTGACTTCAATAATTTATAATATTTTTTAACTGAGTACCGTTAGATGAATTTAAAAAATAAATTTAAAAATTAGACTTGATAATATTAATTATTGAATAGATAGTGGATCTCAACAAATATTAGAACCCACAATGAAATCAATTGTTAAAATCGATGGTTGTAATATTATCATTGATATCAATGCACTGTTTTTGGAGAATTACCACATGAAAGACACCACATGACAATACCTAGTGGTGCCAAGTGAGTGTCAAATATCTTCTCAAATGATCTAATAT